TACCCCCCCCCCCCCCCCCCCTGGATATCAGAGATTGACTTACGTCTTGTCATCACCCAAGTTGATCGAGAGAATATTTCCTGTTTTAGTTCAATTTCCACAAGTAAATGTTTTTTTTTCACATTTGTTTACATTTAAATCAAACATTATACCTATACTTGGCATTTAATATTTAAGCATGTTTTGACTACCAAAATTATGTGGGTGTAAAAGGTTTCACTTGTACAGACATTAGGTTTAAAATGTATTGCAACATCAAAAAAGAAAAATGCTATATTTGTATGGGTATAATACTATTAACAGTATAGTTTCACTTTCAAGTGCAAATCATAGTGGAAGGAAATTTTTGAAAATGGAAATTTCATGCTCATAAAAGTAAGTTATCTTTCTCAGGTGGAAACACCAAAAGTTACTATAAATTGTTAAATTCCCAGAATTTCAATGTTTCTATCTCAATGAAAAATATGGAAATATCATGAAATTATATGAAAAGATATATTGCAAATTTTCATGTTTCCTTATCAGATATTTGCTTCACTAAAATCTTAATCCATTGAGTGCCGACATTGAGCCAGGTAAAATAATAATACAAAAGCAGAGTGCACTAAAGCGGATATATATATAGCGTGGGTATCGGGTATCAGCACTCTCATAGTCTCATGAGGTGCAAGTGAGATTTTGTTGCAAAAACAAGTAGTTTCCTGGCTTGCAAACCTTCAGGAAATACGGCTTGGAAACAATATCTCACAATATCAGTTTACACAAAATAAAGACTTTTGTCTTTACATGTTTTGCAATGTTATCTGGCGGCCTTTTGTCTATTTTATTAAACTGAGTTATAAAATGGGAAACAATTCACAAATATGCTAATTGTAAGACTAAACACAGACATATTTTGGAAATTGCAAACTGTATTGTTTGACCAAATAAGAATGTCACAAGAAACACGTGTTTCATCGAACAATTATCATATTTTTAAGTGCAAGCTGTCTTGGGTAAAGACACGAGACATTTTTGTTCTCAAATCAAGATGCTTTGATTTGCTTTGCACTTGCCAACTAATTCCTGGCAACACATAGCGTTTACAACATTAATATTTACAGTTATGTAATATATTTTAAAGACAAACGGAGCATTATATTATTTTAAACAACGTCACTGATGCGCAACTACAAAAGAGTCTAAAGACAATGCCACAACGGTTGCCAAATTTGTACAAACCCGTAAAAAAAATACCAAAACACAACCGAAACGCCGAAATCCCACTCGAAAAAGCAAATCTTTTAGGAGAGTCGATGTTTTGAGCAACTGGTTCAAATTGAAAGAATATGTTCACAAAACGATAGGCAACCTATACAAATGACATGGCAATTTAATACGTAGTATCTAAATAAACAAATAAAACGTATTTGAGAATTTCGTATACACTTACAAAATTTGGGCTCTCAGCGACAGTGTAATACATATCAATGGTTGGTTTCTTGCCCAAAGCCTGTGTAAATTTATCAGTAACATTCTTCCAATTCAGACCATAATCGTAGGATACAAACACGGCCGCGTTATTTCGCGTCGTTCTGCTCGAAGCATCCTCGCGACACAACGCAATAATCGCCCCAGTTTGGCTAACTAAATTTGTGTCTGTCCAGCGAATTATCAGTCGATTATGGTCGCATAACGGTTTCTAGAACGAATAATAACGTAGCTTTTAAACGATAATTTCACTATATAAACTATATATATATGTGCTAGCTATATGAACTTTATAAAGTGCACATATTCACATTTTGCCAAGGCTGAAGTTTTCCAAAAGTATTAAACTTCTGCATGGCTTTCAGTATGATAAGTTGTTGCGCACACTATAAACAGTATTAAACACCCACTGTCGGGTGATGAAACACGGAAAAAATTGTAAAGAGCCATACTTGACATTCAAACGTTATATTACGGTACGGTTTAAAACGTTCTATAAGTCTTTTTAAACTCACCGATTTTGTGATTACTGGATCGGGTACATTATTTCGTACACGGCTCTGTCGCCGAACTCTCGAGTGTATTGTCTCTTCTTGGTGTGTAGAGCGTTTGGTTCGTTCATGTTCATTTTGCGATGTGTGGAAATATCCATCTAATATGTCTGGCTCATCGCTGAACAAATGTTGCGGCGAAGTAAATCTTATCGAACGAACTTCGGCAATTATAATGCAGCCTATCAATGTCCACAGCACAATAGTGTTGAGATACATGTTCTTGTATTTCAACTAGACGATCTAGAATTCCTTCTATTGACTCCTCGTGTTGGCTCAATTCACAACACGATAAACTCGGCGTGGCAATCGAATCATATGACCAAGACAATATGTTAATTTCTGAAAAGCACAAAACCACAACATTAACAATACAAATGATATTATGTACTGTCGTTTTTAACTAACAATTTGCGACCCCCCGGGAGCAAGGTTATCATAATTGGATTTGTTCCCGGGGAACCTATAAAAGGTCGAGGGTCGAGTCGAGTAAAAGTCGACAGCAAAAAGTCGAGAGTCAACCGAGATGTCATCAGAAACAACACAGTCAAAATATTTTTAACACAATAGATAGCCGTTCCGAAACAACGGCTGAACTCAGTCACTCAGTGACGTAGCCAGGGGGGGGGGGGGCGGGCGCCACAAAAACCATTCTCTCAAAAAGGCTAAATCCGTAGAGAAATTGGGGGGAGGGGTACACGTTACATGTTCTATAAAGCTGAAACTGACTAAGTACGTCTCGAACTTAGGGGCCTTAGCCCTTAGGAAAACGACAATATACTGGAGGAACTTGATTTGTAAAAGCAGTAGTTGTAGATATGGTTTTTGCTGTCGACTCTCGACTTTTACTCTCGACCCTCGACTTAAATTTAGATATACTCGATTCCTGTGTTTGCTCTCAAACCGGGGGATGAGAAAACGAAACTTAATCTCGTTATTATTGAATATTTACATCAGATATCTAGGGGAGTAATATTGTTTTAGTTTAAGATTGCAGTCTGCTGTCGGGCAAAGATTTGCTTTCACACTTCACAAAAGTCAAAACTCCAGAAAACGACAGAAATTGCTAACTTTTTCTTGTTCCGCTCGACAGTGACGGGTCCGTAACATACTATAGAGGGCCCCCTATACCTCTTCACAATATGCTTTCACGTAAAAATATTTTGCCTTTTCACGAGTCACGGATTAAGAAAATCATCGATCACGTTTCACGGCTAAGTAAAATAAGCCCTTCACGCTTCACGCAAAAAGTATAGGGGGCCCTCTACTATAGGATCTGAGCGAACAGTTTTTCAGAAAACATTTCTTACAGTGTGTATATAAATATATATATATATATATATATATATATATATATATATATATATATATATATATATATATATATATATATATATATATATATATATATATATATATATATATATATATATATATATATATATATATATATATATATATATAGCGCGAACAGATCTATCTTTAGTTTACCTATAGGCTATATTAAAATTTTGTCGTCGGTATATATGACTATTTTTGAAGCTCAACACTCAACAGTGAGTATGTTATTTCTGTAATTATTTTCCAGGTTACTATCAACCAGCTTGTTTATTTGTAAAACTTGATTCTTGGAAAAGGGTCACTTAGTCACTTATACAAATTCAAACGGCCAATGAGTTTATTAATTAATTATTAGGAGGGGAGAAGTACTGAAAAATCTTGAATTTTCTCGGGACAAAAATCTTCCTCGATATTAATCTAAGTGGAAACCAACTGGCGACGTATTTTTTATATTTCCTCTTCCGGCTCTGAGGACAAGCGGCTTCCTTTTCAGACTTCAACGGGACTTGGACGGTTGCACATTGCACAGAATTGTTTCCTGATAAATGAAACAATATCAAGGAATTAAAACCAAAACAAAGCCTTTTATCCCTGACGTTTTGACGTCATAGACATAGTTGAAAATTTTATCAGATTTATTAATACTATATTAAGTAGGCTCAAAGCCAGTGCAATTAGCATATAAACGGTCACATTTACTCTTAGCGGTAAACATCATGACTTGTAAAAAGTCTTTGCAAAAGTCTTCGCCAAGTTCTAAAAAAACACAAGACCACAACATGAACAATACAAAATTATGATATTCCGTTCAAAGTTTAAATTGATGCGACCCCCGCCCGGGGAGCAAGATTATTTAGGTTAATAACCGTAATACTGCAATTGGATTTGTTCCCGCGGCTTTGCATTGAAAAGCGGGGGATGAGAAAACGAAACTAGCCTCGTCATTATTGAATATTTACATGAGATATCTAGGCTGTAAATTCTGTAATATTGCTTTTATAGTTTAACATTTCAGCTACGTATACTATTTGGTTTCACAGTTTCTCAAAACTCTGGGAAACGACCTAAATTGTGGACACCCAACAGACAATTTTAACAGAATTGCTAAAATAGGCTCAAAGCCAATGAAATTAACATATAAACGGCGGGAAACATCGTGACTTGCCAGAACATTAGAAAAGAACAAAGAACACACGCTAATTCAGTGCGTGTCAGCAACATGGATCATGAAAAACGATGACTACAGTCACTACAGGCCTACACATGCACGTAAAATTTCACATCCGTGTATAGCAAGTCTGCCATGAATCCATCAAAAAGTTCTGTTCACACCGCTTGTCCCAAGTTGCCAACAAGCATGGAACAAGCTGTTAACAACTTGTAACAACCTTGTCGAATTTATCATTGTTGCACTGAAGGTTGTTCCAACAAGTCCGATACAGTCATGATATAACAATATTGTTACAACCTTGTGTCGTCAATCTTGTAACATTCTTGTTATATCATGACTGTATCAGACTTGTTAGAACAACCTTGTAACAAGTCTGATGATGCCATCAAGCTTGTTAAAAAAGTTAACAGCTTGTCCCAAACTTGTCACAACAACTAGGGTCAAGCAATGCGAACACAACTTGTCGACAGCTTGCGAACAGATTTGTAACAACTTGTGTGTTTTGACGTGCGTAGATAAGAGTGTTCCTATATGTCGTGTGTCGTGGGTTAAAAGTCGTGTGTCGTGGGTAAAGTCGTGGGTCATAGAATGTGCTAAAAACGCATTTTTTTCACGAAAATTTTATTTTTATTTTTAATATTTTTTTCGTACTTTTTCCTTTTATGCGCTACATAAATACAGGAAAATTTAACGCAACAAATCTCCAGTAATAAAATGTGTACGTTATCTGTAGTATAACAAGTAAATGTTTCCATTCAGTCGTATAGTCTAATAGTAATAAGTCTATAGATGTATCAGTTTGATGATAAAACGTCTTAAGTTATAGGATATAGGTTTATTCGAAGTGTTATAGTCCTATCACTAACGTCGCGAATAACTATGTCGATTGCACATGTCTGATACAAACATATTGAGCCGTAAATTCTAGATTTACGCTGTAATTAATAAGTGGCTATTACGCTCGAGCCTCAAATTTTGCCATTTTATCTCCTACTGAGTATGTGCCGGTGCGTGGCCCTTAAAGATAGACACTGAACATTTCATGTGTATGTGGCTTTAGGAAATATTCCAACTGAAATTGCTACGATTTGGGATGATTTCCCGATTGGAAACCGAAATGATTTCCCGATTGAAAACCGAAATTGATTTGTGCGGTGTCGGGCTATTCGCCGACAAAGCGCGCTAGCCGCTGTTATTTTCACAGAATATGATTATATGATATAGGCCTACCACTACACTTTTCAGCCGTAATACATATAAATGCCCGGTTGGGATAAAACGCGGAAACGGAACGGACCGGCGGAACTGGAATGGCGGAACCGGAAAAACGGAAACGAGGGTAAAACGCGGAAAAGAGGGTAAAACGCGGAAAAGAGGGTAAAACGCGGAAAAGAGGGTAAAACGCGGAAAAGAGGGTAAAACGCGGAACAGAGGGTAAAACCCCAGTTTGTTGGGCAGTCGGGCAATATTCGCTCAACAGTCGGGCAAATGTGGTTTATTATAAAAATAAATGGGACAAATTCAGTCTATTATGTGGTAAATTTTATGATGATTCGAAAATTTGGGTGATGTTCCGAAAAATTAGGGTATGTCCGGAAAATTTTTTGACCCCTAAAATGGTACACTGGCCGATTTTTTTTGGCGACGGGGGGGGGGGGAGTTCGCCAAAATAAATTCCGGAAAAATTTTTTTCGGTACTGGTCGGGCACAATCCGGAAAAGTCGGGCAAATTTCTTTCCGCCCCCCTAATTTTTTCCTTCCGGTACGCCCATGCACGCATTTATGTATTACGGCTGAAAAGTGTAGAGGCAGAGGTGTAGAGGTATCATACTCTTCCAAAGTAACAGCGGCTAGCACGCTGGCAAATAGCCCAACATCGCACAAATCTCGGCACAAATCATTTCGGTTTTCAATCGCGAAATCCCAAATCAAAGTCCGAACGCCATATCACATGAAATGTTTGTCTATCTTTGAGGGCCACGAACATATACTGGGACTGAGATAAAATAGCAAAATTTGAGACTCGAGCGTTGGCCACTTTACAGTCTTCACACTCAATACAGGCGGCGTACAATTTATAGCTCACTATGTTTGTATCAGACATATGCAATCGACATAGTTATTCGCGACGTTCGTGATAGAAGACACTTCGAAAGCTAATAAACCTATATCCTATATTCGTGACACTTCCAAAGCTAATAAACCTATATCCTATAACTTAATATCATCAAGCAATACATCTTGTTAGACTATACGAAACGGACACATTTACTTGTTATACAATATATAACAGCATGAAATTAAACAGCATGTATATTCTTTTATTACTGGAGATTTGTTGCGTCAAATTTTCCTGTATTTATGTAGCGCATAAAAGGAAAAAGTACGAAAAAAATATTAAAAATAAAAATAATATTTTCGTGAAAAAATGCGTTTTAGCACATTTTATGACCCACGACTTTACTCACAACACACGACTTTTGACCCACGAGTTTCATACTTGCGATGAAAAGCGTTCAAAACCTAATAAAATCTTTTTGGCGTACATCTCAATGCCGTTCCGCATTCAGTTCTTTTTAAACTGTTGCCAATGTACGATATGACCTTAATAGAGTTAATTACATCCGTTATCCAGAATTCTAATATATATAGTTTCAAGACGTTTTCACAAAGATTCATTATTGTTGTGACAGCATGTGATCGTAATGGCCAAAAGGGAAGTTTTCAAGATAGTTCAAAATTTAAACTTAGACTTTGCTATTTTAGCAGCCAGTTTTTCAGCAGCCTCGTACCCAGGTCTCTCTGTCAAACTGCGCTCAGCGCGCACGGCATGCTGGGGAGGACGAAACGAGGAAATACGGAAATACGGGCTCAATAGAGGAAATACGGTAGACTAACAATTGCCATTCAATGGTTTCGTGTATGTGAGATTAGTTAAAGCCCAACGTGTCAATCACGAAAGCGAAGCTCTACGGAGGCTCCAAGACGACTTTCCTGAAACGCTCTCCTCCGCAGAGGTTATTTTGGACCGTAGAAGACTATTTTGTTGCAGTATTTAATATACATTTTTCGGAATCGGATAGTATAGGAGATATGTTGTAGCGTAAAAAAGTACTGTAGTCGAAAGAAATGGCTGTGATAAAGTATCGAAAAATATATTATAAATACTGCAACAAAATAAGTTTTCTACGATCCAAAATAACCTCTGCGGATGAGAGAGTTCCTGAAGGGTGTATTAGCCATTTCCCAATCGAGTAGAGAACTAGGTCTAGTCGGCGCTTGTTTGGAGGGCCAAAAAATAAATAATATGCCGAATATGGCATGTAGGAAGTTTTCCTACATTCCTAAAGTTATTTGTGCAGCCTGAAACGCAACAATTATAATAAGGCATCGCTCAATATAACTTGTTGTCCCTCCAAACGTCCCTCCAAACATCAACTAGACCCAGTCCTCTGCTCGATTGGGAAATGGCTAATTGCAAAATGGTGAAAGTAAGACAATGACGTCATAATCATCTGTTATCACGTTACTTGCAAGGGCTGAATGCACAACAGTCTAGAACAACCCAGGTGGCGGCACACAAAATCTAAGATCCCAGCACCAAACCGTAGTATAACCATAACTATGGTATAACCTTCCATATGTTGATGGTCATTCACTTGTGATGAGATCTATGACAGTCCTTATCAATACACTTTGTCTGTCTTCGCCAGACTTCTTGTTTAAAGCAAACGCCAAACTCGGGCATCTGATCTTTTCTTCGAATAATCTCTCTAACTCTGCACGCAGTCTCTGCAAAAAAAAAGTATTCCGGTCTTACAGTCAGGGATGGATCCAGCATGATCTAGGGGGGTGCACCCCCCCCGCCCCCAGCAAATCCATCCCTGCTTACAGTCACGTGGGAATATTACGTTACGATTATGGTGGGCACCAGTGAACTCTATAAAAACTGGAACGATATAACACCGGCTTTGTTTTCGAAACCAAGATGGCGGAAATTGAAGGCCGTCTTGTAGGTATGCCCTATTTCCAAATTTATAAACAAGCTGTTGCGAAATTTGCTTTGAATTTTAGGTTAACCTAGGGCTAAGCTGATCGGCTTTCGAACAATCAGGCGCCAGGTGTCAGATGAATAATCACGGCGAAGAAAATATACCTGAACTAAAATCGCAACAGTATTTCTGCAGTTGAATTTGATCCAATGATCAACGGAAGAAAATATACCTGAACTAAAATCGCAACAGTATTTCTGCAGTTGAATTTGATCCAATGATCAACGGTAACAATCTCTTGGTCTTCGTCCAAACCCACTGATATCTCACCACCAAAGAATAACAGAGAGTACGGAGTCACTGTGCTACAGTCGTGAATAAATAACTACACAAAAAATATATATATAGGATATTACTAAATAATAAACTGTAAAGGCCTATTTACACGAGACTATTTGCAAGACTTACTGTATTTACACGACTATACACGTAAAAATCGCATGCACAACATCATATTTGAGGTTCGTGGATGGCACAAGGTTAAAGTGTGACTAACCCCAAGTATGATAATTTTTCGTATATGTGTAATATTTGGATCATTCTAAGAAGAAATGTAACACATCTTTGTACCGTAGTTTTAACCTCATCTTGATCAACTTTTTCACTGTCAAAGTTCCGGATATGATGTCATTAGGTGAATTTTTGATACAAAAAACAAAGGAAAATAATTCGCATTTCACCTAATGACATCATATCCGGAAACTTTGACAGTGAAAAAGTTGATGAAGATGGGATTTTTTATTATGAAGATATATTACATTTCCTCTTCGAATGACGCAAATATTACACATGGCACATAAAACATACTTGGGATTAGTCACACTTTAAGAATAAAAACTCATTTGTTGCTTTACTTACCATGGTCGATTTGATTTTCTCCAAATAAATAAGCCAGTTACTATGAAATGAACGTTCTGAACAATTAACAGATTTGGGATGCACTTCCACCTTAACATGACGACCATCCTGTTGTATAGAGAGCTGTGGCGGTCTGAGAACGGAAAAAAAGTCAATTTTTTAATTTACAGCCAAACAGAGCACTCGGAGACTAGTGGAGGTAACAAAAAGCTTCCGAGATACAGGATTACATTCTATAAATACAATCCAAAATGCAAATCTCAAAGATCGTGTATACACCCATACAATTTATAAAACCCCGTACGTCTCGGCAATGTTTCCTTGACAAGTTTTATTTGGTCGTGAGTACGGCAAATTGACAATTTTGCCAGTCATGCCAGCTTTCGGACAAGGAAAATATGAATTTTTTCTGTGTTGGTGTAATGTACTCAGGTGAATATGATGCTTGTGATGATGCTTGTGATGTTTGGGCTAGTATTCCAAAGGTCGTAGGTTCGATTCTCACCGTGGCCAGGCATATTTTTCAAGCTTGCCCGGTGTGGATATACACTGAGAGTAACATCACGGAAAATTTGTAAGCATCAAGGAAAATTTGTTCGTGTGTACGGCCTCCAAGGAAAACTTGACAAGTGTATACAAGAAATACTTCTACGGTTTTGTCAAACAAGAGGACAAGAGGCGGCCTTGGCGTGAGATAAATGTTTAATATAACATTCAGTTAGTGGATTATAAGATTCGATGAACATCTTGCAAGATTGTTCCCTTCGACTGCTCAATGACTGCATGGAGCTTTGCAATTTCGAAAGCTTCCTCATAGGCCAATTTTGGATATGCAATTTTTATAGCCCTTTTTTGCACCGACTCCAAAAAGGTAATGATGACACCTGTTGTAGGTTTAGGTAATGACAAACGCAAAGCAAAGCAAAGCGCGTATTAAAGACAAAGCGTAAAGGAGAGAATTTGTTTTCTTCAAAATTTTAAACCGTCCACACGAGAAAGTAAACTTGTCAAGGGGAACGTCTGTACGGGGGTTTAATTATAGTTTACTCACCGCGAAGAATGTGGAAAATGACAAACAGAGATGACGTTGGGATAAAAACCAGCACAAAGAATTGCTTTGATTAAGGATTCGTTGTCTGGAAAACAGATTTAAAAAACGTTTACAAAAAGGAGGATTCTAGATTGTGAACAATGGCACAAGTACTTGCTACATTGTTGCCAAATCTGTGTAAGACATGCTGTTTAATATTCAGATCGCATTCGGTGAGCTCTCTATATATAACTGTAGTAAGAACCTCAGTCATTCGGCCTATGAGAAAGGTGAAGCCAAGATGGAATTGGTGGAATTGATGTCTAATAGCTATGAAGGTTGTAAACCGAGTTTTGATACCATTTTCCAGCTAATTCTAGTTTTTTTCTAACAGATCGTATC